AGATTTTCACATATTTTGCTCAGGAATTATGATAAAACGAAGTGATCAGTTGATTTTGATAAAATTTCAGAAGTCTGAAATTAATCGGTTTTATGAATGTTACATTTCAAAAATATAAACAATATTGTTTAATAAAGTTAATATCATGTCTAACCAAACGAATGAATTCAATGTTTACTGTTTGATAGCTGATAACTTCTCACTTCCAAATGTCATCAAAACTGATTCTTTGCTTGTATATTATTATTGTACTCCTATATACTTCCACTTTTGCAAAGGTATTTCTTGCTTATCATTGATAATATAATTTTTACATTCTTATACGAACTATCACTAATATTAAAATCATCCAACGCAATTAGGACTATAACCATTTGATGATCCGATGCAGTATGCTGTAAATATTTAAATGGTGAAATCGCTTTTTATCGATGATATTCATTTATATTTTACTTTTGTTTCCTTCAATTGTAAATTCATATACTGTATTATATTTGGCGTAAAATGCACTGATAACTGATAATATTTGCGCTTACAATAAAATTACAATAACTGCTAAATTAAGTATTACTGACTATTGACTACAGAAACTATGATCTTAAACAGATTTGCAACATATCAAATAGGTGTTAATCCATCATCTGCAATTAAATTCCCTTTTTAATAGGTTTTGATTTAAACGCGCTTGCAAAAATAATACTTTATTCTGTAAAAAATTTAAAATAGCAATGGAAAATTACCTGAGATAAAATTTGTTTATATAGTAATTGAAAAAAAAATTATCATTTGATTTTTATTGTTTTTTTAGCAGAATGATATGCTACAAAATGCTTCGATCAGTGAAGTCATTGAATTGAATATAACTACACAACCAATTGGATTTGTTACCAAATTGCTTATTAAAATCTTAGAAGAAATTCAAATGGACGAAAAAATGACAAATGGAACAGAAGTTGAAATGATGGAAAAGATTAGAAATGAAACAATGGAAAAGTTCCACGATGATATGATTAACATAACTGATTTGCTTAAGCCAATTCTTTTGGGTGTAATTATTGAATTGAAAAAACAACTTGCTTCAAAAGAACGAGCAATTAGCTTATACGGTGCTATTCAACGAGTTACCGGTGATTTTTGGGTTGCTTTCACTAATTCAGTCAAAACAATTGGCAATTTTCTTGATATATTATTTTCACCGCATTTGAAATCTTTGGAACCTCCACCAATAAAAAGTTTAAAAAAATGACAATTACTATAATTTAACAATATATTATTATTTAAAAATTTAACAATATATTATCATTTAATATATTGTTAAACTTGTAATTTAACAATATATCACTTTTAAAAAATATTATTTAAAAAGTTAAAAATAGGAAGTAATGATTAAAGATATCATTATTGATTGCTATTCATATCTTAGAACAAAACAAAAGCGCTTATCTTATCGTTTTTAAAATATTTCCACTTTTTCATCAAATCGTCGAGATTGTTGAAGGAATAAAATATGTCATGCATATATCTTACTCATGCATCTATTTACACATATATATTTAGTAATCGTAAATTCATATATTTATTTACAGACATATACTTACTAATTGTAATTTATTCTTTTCTTCACTGATAGTCAAATAGGAATGTGAGTTTTCTAATTTGCTAATACTGTTTCAAATGAAGCTGCAATCATTTAATTAATTGTAAATCAATTATTTCGGTTATGAATTTCTTTATTCAACTGTTATCGAAAGTTTTTCTCCATGTTATTCACTTATATATAAATAAAGTTTACATTATCAATTGTTTTTGTTACTGTAAACATTTAACAAAAAAGGAAACTATCCCGTTAGTAAAATGCGTTTGTTTTCTGGCACCAATATCACTATTAATCGTAAATACTTTGATATGATATGAAATGATATGGTACCGAGCTTCTACACCAAATATTCAATAAAATATATCCGAAAATACGAAAAAGGGAAAAAACTTTCTTCTCCATTTTCCATAATCATAAATATTTCTACATAATATCTAATTTATCCCAAATAAATAATACACAATTCCTCAATTGTTTTTCGATTTCTATAACATAAATAAACATAATTCTTTTATTCCAATTTTCGAGCGGAACAATTAATTTTGCATAATTTTCCTATCTTTTAAATCAATCAAATATTTTTGTTGATTGTTGCAAATATTAAAAATTTTTGACATGAAATATTCCAATCCGGGATTCTCTTCTTTCTATTCAAAGCTTCTTTAGTTAATTTCAAATTTCTATTATTTTACTTGGACTAGTAATGACAAAATCATGTTCACAGTAAATTCCTATTTGCGGCAATAATAATAGTATTGAAATTGGCTAATTCACTTTTTAATACATCAATATGTATAAATTTTAATTCGCTATAGTACTATAATTTTTCTTTCAACTGATTATGGAAAGAAAATATTCATATTGAAAGTGTTTAATCTTTGAATTATTTTTCACTTTCTGTAGTAAATAAAACAGAATAAATAATGCATTTGGGGAATAATAACAATAATAAGGGACAACATAAAAGGCATATTTTGTTGAACTATTTCTCATTTTCATTTCAAATATTTCGGTTATTGCATGATGAATCAAATGATTAACTTATTTCTCATAACAATCGCAATTGTTCCAAATATGTACTTTTGTAATGTAAGTTTAATTGCTAATAATTTTAAATTATATTGAATAAAAATTAACTTGAGTTGATATAGACAAACTGATTATCTATATCAACTTAAGTCGAAAAATTGAGCTGATATAGATGAGCTGATTGATATCAGCAAAAATAGGAGAAAATGATAAATTAATCGACATATTTTTTTGATGACATTCATAACATTGAATATGAATATACTAACTGAATACTTAATAATTAGATTTAGAATTGTTTAAGCAGAATAATCTTAAATAAATTTATTTTCACAGCCTTCACTATCAATGATTTTATTCGTCAGATTATTTTGAGATGAAAATTTAAATGCGTATGTTTAGTCTTTGATTCTCGCAATAACAATAACTCTTAATTTAGATAACATATATTAAATTGAACTGATTAATGGTTGATATTTTACTGATACTTTCTACATCAGCAATTTCTCGTCACTTACTTTTTTATCTTACATTTGTTTTTTTGATTGTTTTTCATCAATTAATTTTGCATTTTCTTTTGCAGCCAATTGGAACGAATTCAGCAACCATTAGCACCACTTCATCAATCAACAAAACTTTTTCAATATTACTGAATAAATTTATGGATGATTTGGAGATTGAAAAAGAAGGTCGAGAAAAAGGTGTCAAATTGTTTATCGAGAATCACAAAGCACTCGTGAATATTGGATTACTGATTGATGATGTGATAGATTTGATACGCGAAGGCAAAGAACCGTTCCTGAAATTATTCGCATTACCGTTATCTTTACTGTTTTACTCATTGGACCTAACTGAAGCTGGTGATATACTCGGAAAATATGGCTTAGAATTTATTTTGGATATCATTACGAATGATAAGTGAACGTCTGACTGATTATTCCTTTCATCTAATCATTTTATTTAAATGTTGGATTATTTCTGATTATCGCACTTTTTCTTGATTTTCTCTTTCTAATAAATCCATCGTGAAATATTTTTTCTAATTTTCTTTATCATACGTGCTTAAATTTAGTTACCTTGGTGAAAATTTTGTGTAATTTTTTGACTTTTTTTTAATTAAATAAACTTGTTTTCTTTTTCTTTGTTCAATAATCATTTTACTAATTAAACTAAAATGTAAAAATTTTATAAAAATAATACATCTAATAGATATTTTTACAAAAATAACTCGCAAAAGCAAGCAAACCTTTCTACCTTATTCGGTCTATAAATATTTTTATTTTTATTAATAATGAATAGTCAAAGCTTTCTCCTAAACGAAATTTTTATAAAATTCTTGAATGGAGGATTGCCGTACTGGTCAATGTGTGACAATTTTTCATCTGTTTTGAAATTCTTCTGATATGCTAAATTTTTATTTCATTTTCATTTCACGATTAATTGCCTCAGTTAAATGAGAAAGTGGAACTGAATATGACAGATTGATTGTGATCAGTTTTAGAATAAATAGAAAAAAAAATGGTTTCTTATTATTTAAAAAATTTCACTTTAATATTTGAAATGAATTACAATAAAGGAATGAGTAACTTTTTTTAACGGACCACTTTTTTAAGTGTGTGAATATTTTTTCCTTCAAAATATGGAAATTTGCATTTACAGACGAGTTTGTTGAGATGAGAGAATTGAGTTAAACAGAGATGGAATATGCAAATTTTATATCGTATCACAATATAAATACCATCTGATCATAAAAGGATTATCATTTTTACTACTGCGATCGATCTGAGGTGGTTCTTTCGCATCTGACGGTGAGGTTTATTGAATTACTGATAATGAATTCTAGTGGGATATCACGGGGTAAAACCAAATCAGGTGAACTGATAATCAACAAATTTGATTTAGTCCTCAAGAATTTATCATTTCTCTCAAATCTAAATAAGAAAGAAATCTAAGTTGCTTGTTCGATTAGCTACCTGATCATTTGATATTTCAACAAGTTGTAAAAAAACAATCATTTGCTTCTTTTGTTTGGTTCTTTCATAAAATTTCATTTCAGAGAGTAATTTTCATTGTTTGTGGATTATCACAACAACAGCAGCAGTTCCTCATCAAAAATGAATGGTACTTATCAAAAACTTTTTTTTTCCTTTGAAAGAGAAAATTTTAACAGTAAAAGATATTGAATTACTAATATCAGAAGAAACGAATCATTTAAATAAATTCAAAAATTTATAAATTACTTCTCAGATCATTACGTTTGAATAACAAATCGCATCAGTTTTGCAACAAATTAACTGTTTCAGTGATCATTGTTTGTGATATTAAAAATTTATATGACTGAAATTTTTGAAAAAATTCAAAATTGCTAAAAATTGGCGAAACTTTTGCTCAGTTCTTATACTAGTATTATTAAAGTCAAAGGTGTTAAATTTTAAACAAATTTATGATGAATATGATTATTTTATTTTATAAAGATTTCAAAAGTTTTGTTATCGTGATAACTGAATTTGTTATAATTGCAAATGATGGTACTATTCCATTAGAAACGAGCATTAGCATCGTTTATGAAATTAGCAATCGAAAGCAAAGAATTTTTGGGAAAATAAACCTCTTATGCTCAAGTTAATATTATAACAAAATATTAATTTAAATTTGATTTTTTTGAATTTTTAAACGATACACTTTTTATGCATTTGTTAAAAAATAAGTGGATTCAGTTCATCCTGATGATCTAATGAATCGAAGCTTTGATGCTAATGATTTGGAAGCACTCGATATGGACAATCCTGAATTCGAAAATTTTTCTGAAACGGATGAATCGGGATACTACAGCGGCGATCATATGCAGGAAGCTATTGATCGGTAATAATTAGAAAAGCATCCCGAAATTAGAAAATGTGATTAAAATAGCTATCTTGTAAAGTTATAAAATGCCGATGAATCCGAATATTAAATCTCGATGCTACTTGCATACTCAATATTTTGTGGAATTTATTACATTTTTTTCTAGATGCAAATTTACATTCAAAATTTTAATGTTAATTTTTGTTTGAATTCTCAGAGCGTTCATGATTGGATTCAACGAGACAATGGATCGTATGGAACAGCGAATTAACGAAATAGCAAATGAAAATTGGTTTCGACATAATATCAACAATCATAATTTGCTTAGAAACTTTCGTTTCGATTTACCCGTGAATAACAGATTTGTTTAATTTAATATTAATTTTTGTTGGAATTCTTGGATTTCAACGAAATAATATGGGCCGTACGTCAATTATCTGATGGAAAATTAGATTCATCTAATGAACACGAATCAGATGCATTAATTATAATCTTTCTTTTGCTTTTTATAAAAACAATGAAATAGTCTTTCATCCTTTTAAAGTCTAATTTAAAAAAAATCCACTTTTTCATTAGTTGTTTTAGTTCTCGAAAATTTTAGATGCTTTGAAAGCTAACATTGACATTATCAACTGATTAAAGTTAATAATTTGAAGCGATTATAATATTTGAGTGATGAAGAGGCTAACTGATAAAAAAATCGAATCTTTCATAATAAAAATTTGAAGATAATTTGAATAATCCAGAACAACATTGCTCCATATGATTTACCCGGTGGTTCACGACAAAACAACAATGAACCGTACAGAGTGGTAATGCAGCAACTTGAACAAGTGCCGCATTGTGTATTTTACGAAAGAGTCGTTAATGAACCTTATCCAGAATCCCTTCGTCTTGATCGATTATCAGCTGGTAGTTCACGATCATGGAGCCCAAATCTCATCAATCAACAACAAGAAAGACCTTTTACTCGATATCGAAGATACAGCTATCCGGTTATTGTAAGTAAATTATGACTGTAATTCCTTCACTTCAGTTGTAGACTTTTATAAACTGATGAAAATTCGAATGATTGTTAGCTAAAATTTCTGTATATGTACTCTAAACTTTAGCACTGACATCGATTTTACTATAAATTTTATAAATTATTCCAAAGAATGAAATTTGCAATTCTAATTAATCCCAATTCTTATATGAAAAAGCATCTATTCAACTGAACTTATTATGATAAGAATTATTAGCATTGAAAGTTTATTAACCAGTTCAGTTATTTAATTTTGATCTTTTTGATCATTATTGGAATCAAGCTTGATCGCATCATACATTTCATATAAAATTTTAGGCTCGAGATTTTGATTTTCCACAGACGGATAATGAACTAAGTGAGGACGAAATGGATAACCTATCCAACTTCGTAATAATTTTGATAAAATCTGAAACTTGGTCTGGAAATTTTTTTGTTAGGATAAATAAATGAAGATGTTTTTGTCATCAAATTTCTCCACATATTTTTTTCCTGTGACAAATATCTAAATTAACCAGATTCTTTAAAACATAAAAATATAAAAATAAGTTTCAGCTGAGATCTGCATTAACCACACGTGATGAATTACCACCAGAAGGTACGGCATCCGATCCACCACAGTTGTTGGCAGTACAGCAAAGCAACAGTTATCCTATGATCGGTGGTAATGAATATCACATGCGATATGGAAGTAATCGTAGTATTTTTTCTGGCGAAAGAAGCTCAGTTCGTTCTCATTATCGTCGTCATACTGGTCATGGTGTTAAGCGTTACCATTCTCAAAGATCAGGTAGCGGATCATCACGTGATTCAACGAAACGACGACGTTCGTTACCGCCAATGGCAGGAAGAAGAATCAGTTTAGAATATACTTCTTCGGAAAGTGATGCGGAACCAGTGGAAGAAGTCTCGTACACCGATCGCAACATTGAACAAAATTACCTGCCGAGATTGGTAATGGAAGCATTCATCATTATTTGGTAGAAAAAACTAGGAAGTTTTGCGCTTAATAAAAAGATTTACTATATTTTGGTTTAAGATTTCATGAAACAAAACACAAAAAATTATTCGTGGTAATTCAATTCTCCAGCGAATAGTGAATTTAAAAAAAAAAAAGTTCTAAATTTGAAAACATTTATTCTACAGAGACAAAATATCATATATATGAGAACTAATCGAAGACGCTTATCGCCATCACAAAATCCACGCCGACGTCGACGATCGTCGCAAAGATATCCACGAGTTCGCCTGTACGGAAGATTACGCCGCGTTAACAATGGTCGAATTACACGGAAAAGATCTTAAGAAAAATTATATCATTTAATAATTCAACTTGAAATGATATACTGACTATTTGGAACAGAAAAACACATTTAACAGAATTAGAGTTTACGAATGACAACGTAAACTGTAGAAAATACTATTACTGGTCTGTTTGTAAGTTACCGTTTTATTACCAATAGATATCAATTTGCAAGTTTTTGTCCAGTGCGCTTTCTTATGGCATCACTTTTGAAGCAGTGAACTTTGACACTTAATCTCAAGTGTACCTAGCCTATCTCTATCATTAATTTCATGTTAATTGTCAGCATTATGTATTCGCAAATATATCTTTAAAATTCTGTAATAAAAAAGTATTAAAATGTTGCTTTTGAAATTGCAGAAAATTTTCGCATTTATCAAATTTATACAAATTTATAGTTTCTATTAAATCCTAAGTCACGTTTCCAAAAATATGTGTGTAATTTTATTTGACGTAAGTGATTTACTTTATTACTAATATGAATAACACTTTTTATGCATATTTTTGACTATTACAAATGAAAATCTTATAAATATTGATCGTCGTAATATTGTTGATGAATTTTCATAGATATATGTCCACGGAACGGTGGTTCTTTTTCCTCCCGTATACATTTTAATGATAAATCACTGAGG